CCCCCACACACACACACACACACACACACACACACACACACTTCCAGGTACCATTGTAACCAGACAATCGATGTTATTCAGGTCACCTGATACTGTCTTGTCTGTGCATGTTACAGGCACCAAACTAACCATTTCACACAATGCACTTCCATGCAAATGTGGTGCCTGTAATTAGAACAGGTTCCCCTGACATGTAATCTTTGGCATATTCATGTCTGCAGTTCATAATAAGAGATTGAAAAGGAAGTGCACACCAGCTGATATGATCAGATGTTCTCAAAAGACAGACTGCTCTGCCTCCTTCCTCCAATGCAGATCCATGGAACGCTAGTAGATGTGACAGGTCATTTTTTATCTGGCTGGAACTCTATGTTAATACAGACCTGAATGTAATCCTCCCAGCTTATACTAATATTATGGAGATTCCGGTCGTGTCTGAACATGTTCTAATGACTGCTTTGTAATGTGTGAGGAAAGTTACCGACAGTCTGTAAACAAGAATATTTTCCAGAGTCCGCCATGTATATCTGTAATGGTAGGATCCATCACGTAAAACAAAACTGGATGAGCGCACACCAGCTGTATTCAAATGCTTTCTTTTTTTCCCTTCATAAAAGCATAACAAAGAGATGAATTGAGAACACTGACGCATTTCACACACCCAGGTGCTTAGTCATTGGTGCTTTGACCAAGCACCTGTGTGCGTAAAACGTGCTGGAAGAGCACCTGGCCATAGCAGGCAAGCTTGGACTCCAGCATAACACTCCTACAGGTGAAACTCGAATAATTAGAATATCGTGCAAAGTTCATTTATTTCACTAATGCAACTTATGCGGTGAAACTAATATATGAGAGAGACTCATTACATGCAAAGCAAGATAGTTCAAGCCGTGATTTGTCAACATTGTGATGATTATGGCTTACAGCTCATGAAACCCCCAAGAACCCCAAATCCACAACCTCAAAAAAGTAGATTACTACATGCAATCAATAAAACAAGGATTGTACATAGAACAATATCGGACCTCTGAAAAGTACAAGCATGCATATGTACTCAGTACTTGGTTTGGGCCCCTTTTGCAGCACTTACTGCAATTACTTTTGCACGATATTCTAATTATTCGAGTTTCACCTGTATGTCCTGCTTGCAAAGTGGTGCCCGAAACCAGACCCCATACTCTAGATGTGAACTTTTCTGTCGGTTACACAGAGGAAACACTATTTTGGCACCAGGATGCTCTCAATGTTTCTCTTAAATGTATATTCCTTAGACACAGTAAATACAAGTAGAACATTTTCTATGACTTACTTCTGTGCTGAGAAATGAATGTTAGAAGAGGCTGTGACCACATCCATTCTCCTCTGGTACTGAAGCTGTGCCTAGCTGCTGCAGTGATAGGAGAGCTCTGCGGATAATGGAGGTCATGGGGAGAGTGCTGCGGACTGCGGAGGTGAAAGGGGTAGTGCTGTGCACTGTAGAGATGAAGGGAGTGCTGTGGAGGTGATAGGGGAGTGCTGCGGTGTGTGGAGGTGATAGGGGAGTGCTGCGGTGTGTGGAGGTGTTGGAGGGAGTGCTGCGGTGTGTGGAGGTGATGGAGGGAGTGCTGCGGTGTGTGGAGGTGATGGAGGGAGTGCTGCGAACAACAAAGGTGATGGGAGAGTGCCTTCTTACTACGGAGGTGATGGGGGGAGTGCTTTCTTACTACATAGGTGATGGGGGAGTGCTGCGGACTACGTAGGTGATGGGGGAGTGCTGTGGACTACGTAGGTGATGGGGGAGTGCTGTGGACTACAGAGGTGATGGGGGACTGCTGCTGATTAAGGAGGTGACGAGAAAGTGTTGCAGGGTGTGGAGGTGATAGGGGACTGTTGTGGATGTGATAGGAAAGGGCTGCAGACATGTGCTAATAAAGCTTATTTGAATTTGACAGAGGGAGGGTGTTGCAGAGATGATCGGGGAGATGGGGCAGTGCTATGGAGATGACCAGGAGGGCGTGCTGCAGACTGTGGATGAGATGGGGTAGTGTTGAGGACTGTGGGTGTGCTGGGTGAGTGCTGTGAAGTAGTCCGTTTGCCCTGGCCTCCATCTTGTGACCACGCAGCCTCATTATTAGCACTGATGTGGCCTCTTTTTAGGTGTGATTTACAGGCGGACGGCTTACATAGAGGACCGCTCTCCTCTGAGAGTCACTTGTAACTCTCGGACAGTCGTGTCCCAACCACTTCTCCGTCATTCACATCTAGCCCTCAGGAGGGATTGCCTGATGGGGGTTATTGTTATGTTTCCATCACTCTATCTTTATCTAGATACACATTATTTATTTCTCTCCATCTGTATAATGTGAAAGGTCACAGAGGTTTTGTGTTGCTCGGGTGTCCTTCGGGGGAATCTTACAATGACATCTCGTTGTGTACACAGCGTGTCTGATTGTGTAACACGCCCACATGGCGCAGACTTGTGAAACAGGATGACCAGGAAGTCGAGTCACAAGGGATAGGAGAAGGAAGCTGAGCCCGCTGAGTGTCGCTGGGTGGAGTGAGCTCGCTGGGTGGAGTGCCGCCCGATGAAATAGATCCAGAGTCGCACCCTCTGTCAGAGGACAGATGTGGCCCTGGGCGATACTGGGCCGGCTGCATAATGTTGTTATGCCCAGGCCGGGGGCCCCACACCTTCCCAGCTTCTCATGATTCCGTGGATGGTGTCACCCTCAGTGACTTGTGTCATTCCACAGAAAGCCCGACTCTCTGCTGCGGCTGTCCATACCTGGCCCCTCTACTACAGTCACCTGGCCCTGCAGCTGTTGCGGAACTACAACTCCCAGCAAGCTCTGTTCTGGGGATGCCTGTTTGCAGTAGAAATATCAGAGCAGACAAGCGGCAGTGTAGCTCCCCGCAGAGATTTTCATATTATAACGCCATTGCACCCAGAGGCCAGTTTTAACCATTTGATTGCCATGCCATTTCGAATACATCATCCACTTTCCTAGGAGAGGGACGACCATGACACGTGCAGTGCGTCCTTGGCTTGTGGTCAGCATGATGGAGGGGACGGGCAGGCACACACTTTGTGAATGCCAATATGGTCAAAGGAAAATATTGCAGGAATTGTAAAAATTAACCCTTGCAGTGGGACTAAAC